AAGGAGGCGCTGATGCCTGCTCGTGACTTCTGATTTGAACTTGTCCCGGATGTGACGGTTACCTGGCAAGTCATGAAATATAGGCAAAGGAAAACTGTATTTTCGTCTCTTTTTTTAAAAACGCATGAATTAGCATGGTCTTAGATTAACCCGTGTTGCTTTTTAACCCTCGTGCTGAAAGGCTTCAACCATACGAAGTCTACCTCTACATTTAAATACAACTCAACGCGGCCCTTCTCTTTCTCTGGGGGTAGTCACAGACAGATAAGGTATAAACAGTTTACCATTCTTTGATGCTGGCATTCACAAATGGCGCATATAAGCTTTTTTAGCCTTAAGCTGGCCTCAGTGTTTTGTTTAACTGGAACCCATACTCGTACTCGGTTCACGCAGCGAATTTCAGAGAAATCAAGACCCTTGTTAGTTACAACAGGTGTCCTTCATCAATTATTTCTTTCTTGTCTGCAGTCCTTCTTTAAATTAACCACCAATTTCACAACGGAACCGAAATTATAGTACCCCGTAATGGAGCTGAACTCTACGGCTGTTCTCTGTTTTACCCACACGACACCCTCCCTAATAACTGGTTCAGTGACTGAACTTCACACCCGTAAATACTTGGCCTAACTCCAATCCTTGCAAACATTCCGCTACTTTACGCTTTGTGCAAAGCGTCTTTTGTGCATACTCGCTAAGCAGAAGCATATTTTGAACGGTGAGTGCTACGCCTTGCTAAGTGTTGGCAAACTCAGTCATTCCCCAGGTCAGTCAACAGTTATCTAAACCTGTTTCAGTTAGACTAGGAACTGACTGCATTCTCCGTTCAGCTTCTTGTACTACCTGACGCCCCTTTTATACTTATTTTTCCGACCTCACTCCATTCACTCATTTCCCTAGCCATCGGGTTTCGGCAGTGGCTTCTTTGGGCGTCTCATGCGTTTGTCATGCACTTCGCCTGTTCTCCACTTCATATACACAAAGACCCTCAAATGAAACGAAATTACCTGTGAGTCTACACTGGCTTAACCACCGCTTTTGATCCCCTTTGTTAACTTATATCTCACTGCCTACAAAAATGCTCTTCCCTCTCCGCTCGCCGCAAAATTGATCCGTTAAGGAGCTTTCGTAAAGCAAAGTATATTGACGGCATGGCAATACCACACCGAGAATGGTGGCATACCCATTCTTCATACTCTTGACCCTTCTCTCACACCCAGATCCTGGCCCAAAATTACGAGCAATTAGTTCACCTGGCCGTAACAAATTGTGGGGCGATTTTGTCCTAATATTCTCAACCAAAAGCTTCAGTTACCCACCTGGTCATTCCGCTTCAGTTCTACTTCGCCTCGTTTCCATTTCCAGCGGTTTTATTTGCTTTGCTTGCTCTACCATCAGCAATAACACCACTAGCCCA